ATATAATAAAAGAGAAGAAAATATGCATAAAATATTTATGTAAAATATGTTTACTTAAGTGTCGATACTACAAATGCTTTGAAGCGCTGACTGAAAGATGAATATTGGTCTCTACGATTCTTTAAAACATTTGAAGCGCGTAGTGAATATTACCTAGGATTAATTTTATGAATAATATTTTAATTTAATTTAGTTATATTTACATTTTTAATAAGAAAATATTTTATATATGAAAAAATAAGGTGTGGCTATCTAGTGAATATCCCCAATATATTGGGTGGATAGGGATATACGAATAACATGTGAATATCCAGCGGATATCGTCAGTAATTATTGGATGGATATGGATATGTGGGTAACATGTGGATATCTAGTGGATATCCTCAGTAACTATTGGGAGGATATGGATATATGGATAACGTATGGATATCTAGTGGACATCCGCAGTAGCTTTTGAATGGATATGGACATTTTATACATCTATTAAATGTCTACTAGATATCCATTGTAGATATAGACATTATATGGATATGTATTATTAATAGATATCCACTATATATCTATTAGATATTTTGTTCTGTACGGGTATAGACAAAACCGTTCAGCGTATAAATAATGTAAGAGAGATCGGCACGATAATTCAAAATTAATTTTCTACCAGGGACTGTATAGAAAATCACTGCAATAAAACAACAGATAATGACATTTTTCCATCATGTTAATAAAATACTGTCTTTTTACATGCGAATTAATTTGGTCGATCGTCTAGTTTAGATTATATTAAATTTTATCAAAATCGAAGCATGATATATTTTCAAATAAACCATCACAAAAATTCTGTAAAAGTTATTTACATGGCGGAACTAATACTTTATTCGGTACTGCTGCCTTCAGTACTTATTGTGTGACGGTTAAATCGTTCAGATTTAATGACATAATGACATTAAAAAAAAATAATATGAGAAATTGTATGAAACATTATGAGACAATTTTTTACCAAGGATGGCACATGTGTGCCTTTAAATGGCCATTTAAACTGGCCATTTAATCGTTGTACTATTCTAAACCTGTACTCGTTATTTCTCTATTATTGTTGCTTTTTTGTAAGAAATGTGTAATACAATTTTAATAAGTAAAAATAATTTTTTATTGTGTATATGTGTACAATTATTTTTTATTGTGTATATGTGCACAATATAATCATCCTGACTCCTCTCGGAGTTTTATATGGTGTACATGTAAAACTACCCCATTTAATAGTGTACATATGGCACTTGATAGAATTAAATAGCCTATCTACGAAACAGAATCTGCGTGCCAATTTGCCGTCAAAATCTGTCGGCAGGCTCTGCGCGCAGTTTGTCACTAATGTCGTCAGAGACTGATAAAATGGTTTTTGTATGCAATCTGTTGCAACAGACACTGTTGACATCTGTTGACAGACTCTACGCAAAATCTGCTTATACAGGTTTGGCTATCTAGGAAATTGGAAATGGTTAAATTTTTTGTCCGCCGTATTGGAAAAACCATTTTTAATTTTAAAAATTTGATTTCAAATTTAGAATCAGCGACTCAAAAACTCCTAAATATCGATTTTTATATAAATTTTTTCATTTTTTCATTTTTTGGATATGGCCCACCATATTGGATCCACCATTTTGAATTTTGACATTCCAATATCAAATTTACAATCAGTGACGTTCTAAAAGAACCCAATTCAATGGGAAAAAAGTTGTCAGTAGAGAATACAAAGAGAGAATCAAGAATGAGTGAAATTTCTATGTATTGGGCTACAATTTTGAGACCATCATGATTATTTTGAAAAAAAAACCACCAGTATATTTTTAAAGTAAAAGTTCTTAATGCACGTTTTATATACTTTTTACCCTGACAAAATAGTGTTTTGCAAGAAAAATTTGAGATAATTCTGAAAAAAAATACTGTAAAAATAGTAATTTTTTAATTTAAATCTTAAAAATACTAATATTAAATGACATTTTTAAATATTTTACGGTTTAGAATCGGAAAGAGCACACCCAAAAATATTAGGGTAAATTTTTTCAGAGAAAAAATTATTGCATTTTCATTCAGTTATAAGCGTTCAAAAACATTGAGAAAATTTTGTGCATTATGTTAATGCGTTAAAAAAGTTTTAAATGGCAGTCTCTATTTATTAGTAAGTTATTAACAAAATGCTAGGAAGCTGGCCCGGCTAGCCTCTCATGCCCATGCGAGAGCGTGCAAAACGTTCGTCTCTCCGCAGCGAGCGTACTGATTGACCAGTTGGCTGCCGCTCGGTAGAAATCCTTCGTTGTTAATTGTTCTTAAAATTTTATATCGTTATTTAAACTCCGATTCCAATACTCACTCCAATCTATTTTAACTATACAGGATGTATCGTAACATGTGGGACCCACTTCAGGGATAAATAGCGGGCACAAAAACAATAAAAAAAGTTTATATGAACATGTATCCTATTTGACCTTCTTTCGAAGTTATAGCCATTTTTGTTTTTCAGTAATCCACAACTGCTTACTGTCATAGAAAGTGCTCGAAATGGCTACTCCCGGTCCGTATGCAAGCTTGCAGTCGTCGTATCAGAGAATTTTTCAATTTTTCAAACATTCCAGGTTTCTGTCGGCAAGCTTGTTGTATACGTGAACGAAGTATTTCAACACTGGCAATGGGTATCGAATACACAATTGTTTTCAAGTCAAATTTCTTAAAAAATCAATTACATGAACTACTGGAAAATGTTCCATTTGATGTACGTTGCATGTGGTTTATGCATGACGGTGCACCACCTCATTTCAGTCGAGTAGCCAGATAGTTCCAAGACGAAAGATTTCCGCAAAAATAGGTAAGTCGTGGAGATCCTATTGCCTGGCCTGCTCGTTCCCCAGATTTAAGTTTATTAGATTTTTATTTCTGGGACCACTTGAAAACAATTATGTATTAGACAACCATTGCCAATGTTGAAGTACTTCGTGCACGTATACAACAAGCTTGCCAACAGATTCCACATACACCTGGAATTTTTGAAAGATTGCGAAATTCTCTGATACGATGATTGTAAGCTTGCATATAGACCAGAGGTAGTCATTTCGAGCACCTTCTATGACAGTAAGCAGTTGCGAGTTATTGAAATACAAAAATGGTTATAACTTTGAGACAAGATCAAATAGGACACATGTTTATATGAACTTTTTTCATTGTTTTGTGCCCCCTATCCATCGCTGAAATGGGTCCCACATGTTACAATACATCCTGTATATTAGCTCTGATATGGTACGAGTCAGATACTCTGTATATTGACGTATGTACTAACATACTTCTCTCTTATTCACACGTATAACACACGTATATGTGCGGGGAGAGGGGCGGAGCCCCTCCCCGGAAAACTAACCCTAATCTAACCCATTTATTGAAATTTATTAACTAACCTTTACCTAACCCATTTATTGAAAACGTATATACGCAACCTATCCTTTATATTTTTATACATAATTTGTCAATGAAAAATAACAAAACTGCTTGCGATATTTCTTGCACATAGTGTACATCGAAAAGTCGCAAACAATATCTGCATTTGTATTCTTATATTGTTCATCATTGACAAATTATGTATAAAAATGTAATGGATAGGTTGCGCATATATATGTACGTTTTACCATATTTCAATAAATGGGTTAGGTTAGGTTTGGGTTAGTTTTTTGGCGGAGCCCCTCTTTCGCACATATACGTGTACTGTTTACCATATTTCCATATACACTGTGTGCAAAAATCCCATTTATAAAAAAAAAGTTTGAATAACTTTCTAACAAATAGAGACCGCTATTTAAAACTTTTCTAATGTTACTCAGGGACATATTTTTGACAACATATGTCAAGGTCAAGGTTAGGTCAAGATCAACATATGTCAAGGTCAAGGTCATCGGCGAGATATCCCCTAATATAAATAATTACCAAATATTTTTTCGATTTTGTTGGGTTGGAGCCGCATTTTTTGTCAATTTGTTGTAAAATTATACATGTTCATTGGATTGGTTTATTTATATTACCAAATACAACATAAGTTTAAAGGCTGACAAAAGAAACTATGGAAACCTCTCGCGGAGATTTACGAAACACTTTTTGTTTCCTGACTACATTATAATTATGTTATGTGTAATCAAGAGAATTATTTACAAAGATGTACTAAACGTTTAAAAAAAAAATCGAAATAAAAACCAGATAATTTATTTGAACATTGCACGGAAAGTTCAGTAAATATACGAGTTCACATTTTAATTCATTATAAATTTTTAACTACAAAATCTGGCTCTATATATCTTTTAATAATTATCCAAGGACGTCTTTGAAAAACGTTTGCCGCGGAAATATATGTCTGAAAAACAGAATATGACAAATAGATACCATGGAAAGTGTAGCTCATTTGGTTTGCATCCGCGCGAGCAATGCATTAGTATTCGCATGTATATGGACAATTATACAACTATGCACACAAACTGATGTATCGCGCTCTTGTTGCACAAAATCTCCAAAGTTAAATCAGAATTTGCTCTTGGTTCCTCTTAAGAATATATACTAATCAGATTCACGAATTTTACAACACGAAACAGCTTTCCTCGCTAAATGCAATCATTGATTACGTTCAGCAGAAAAAATAACTTAATAAGTGTTTTGCGTTATACTGTCAGCATTTTTACAATTATGATTTTTTATCGAACGATACTAATGATTTATGTTTTTTCGACATATTTACTAAGCCATCATCAATTTTTCAATTATGTTTTTATGCTGGGCCGCTTAAATATGTTAAAGAGAAAAGCGTAAGCCACTGTTATTCAATAAAAAATCTTATAATAGTTGCAAAGCTATTAGCAACGCAGTGCAAAGCGTTTATTAGACTGCTTTTTCGACTGAACGAAACCATTGAACAAATCTTAACTAGTTATTTGTACAGAATATTTAACATCTCATATTATTTAGTTACTTACCGCACCAGGTACTAAGAAACTAGAATGTATCTCGTATGCCCATTTTTTCATTTCTTTGGCATTTCCCTCCTTGTACAAATCCGTTACTAAATAAAATAACTAAAAAAGTTCATTAAATTAATGTATGTATTTTATATGTTTATTAACGTTAGAAAATAATATATTATTTGTAATATTATTATCTTTCTAGATGACAGTATTACATTATTAAAAAAATAGTACTGCAAAAAAGTAGTTTCTAGAAAAAAAATTACCTATTTGCAAAACTGTTTTTCCAATAACAATGACAATAGTAACACCATTACATTTTTACATAATCGTTACTTTTATTGTTAATATATATACCTCTAAAAAATATTTGCGTCTTGCTTTTCATGCATATACAAGATGTTGAAAAACAACATACACATTTATGTACGTGTTCCTCAGACAATTCTAAGAACAAAGTTCATATAAACATGTATCCGAAACGGTTTAGTTTTTGAGATAGAAGGTTTTGAAAATTGCAATTTTTTTTGTAACGATAACTTGGAAACTAATGATAATAATTAAATGAAATTTGACACGTCTGTGCTTAAGTAAACCCTTTCTGAAAATGCCAAACCGTTTTTGAATGAAAACTAGAAATAAGGGTAATAAAAAAGTGTGGGGCAGTTTTAACCCTATCTTTGTGAAAAGAAAAAAAAATTCTGTTTGAATACCAGATTTTAAAAATTCAATGTTTTTAAGACAATTTATTATTAGTATTTATTATTATTATTATATTATTACAAAAAAAATTGCAATTTTCAAAGCCTTTTATCTAAAAAACTAAGCCGTTTCGGACACATGTTTATGTAAACTTTTATTCTTAGAATTGTCTGAGGAACACATAAATAAATTTGTGCCATGTTGTTTTTCAACATCCTATATATACGCATGTATACATGGGAAAAGTGACAATTGTGGGAGATATTATAACAGAAATTATTTTAATATCAATAGATACGAGATGTTAATAAATTTATGTCTATTAAATGTATAATTAATACAATTAACTCAATTGCATAAAATTATTCTTCATTTACGGATATTGGGAAAATTTAGTATAAATATTTATGCAAAATCATATACGATCATTAGATTGGATCATTCAATGAAATTTTATGCAAATTTGGTATACAAAAATTGGTTTAAAAATTGAATAAGGAAATAAGAGAGACAGTAACGATTCGTCCAATAAATAATTAATAGTAAATATACACTGAACGAATAAATAATGAATGCGGACTTTTGCTCTGTTATGATTCAAAAAATATATCTCCTATAACGCAACCGAACAAAACATTTGATTCGTGTCTAGGCTAATTCGTTTATAAAATTCATCATAAGTTCATACGCAAGATAAACGCGAATAATCACATTTCTCGCTGTTTATTCGCTCGATATACAGGGTGTACCAAAATTGTGGGAACGGTAGTTTCAAATATCTCGAAAAAAAGCATTTTTTAGGAAAATGTTTCAGACAAAAGTTATAGAGTTTCAGAAGATCTATTTAATGGCCGTATCAGTTTTGACCTTGAGTGGCGCCGCTCAGGTCGAGATCAACTTTGCTTTTTTAAATACAAACATATTTTTTTATTACATAATTTTATTCTACGTAAAGAAAAAACAACTTTTGTTTGAAAAAAAATTTTATACCACCTCTATTTTCTAAGATATTTATGGAAATATCTACAAAATTATTGATTTCAATAATTTTTTACTCAAATTCTATGAACTTTACCCGAAAATAGCGAGAGATAAAAATTGTTTATTTTCTTCTCTGAGAATAAAACTCTGAGAATTTTTTCAGAATTTTATATAAACTTTTTAGTACTTCAAAAAAATGCAAAAAATACAGTACTAAAAAGTTAATTAAAAAATTCTAAAAAATTTCTCAGAGCTCTATGAGAAGAAAATAGATAATTTTTATCTCTTGTTATTTCTCGGTAAAGTTGGTAGAATTTGGGTAAAAAATTATTTAAATCAATAATTTTGTAGATATTGCCGTAAATATCTTAGAAAATAGAGATCGTATCAAAAAGTTTTTCAAACAAAAGTTGTTCATTTCTTTACATAGAATAAAATTCCGTAATAAGAAATACATGTTTCTATTTAAAAAAGCAAAGTTGACTTCTAAATGACCTTAAAGGTTAAATTCAAGGTCACCAGCAGATAGTTCTTTTAAGCCCAAGCAACTTTTGTTCAAATAAATTTTTCCGAAAATCTTGTCCTGAAGAATTATTCAGATGTATCCATACTTTTGGCCCATCTTGTATCTATTATGATGTAGCGGTTATTGAGCGCCCGTCACAAGATAGTTAGGGTGTAGAAGAATTATCGCAAACACGCGTGACCGCATGTCTCCTTTCCACTCCGACCGTTCGGGGGGAGGAGGAAGACGAGGAGGACAATCCGCGAATATAAGTTGCAGGATATGGCAAGTGCTCCCACGATCCGAGAACAGGAAAAGGAGCTACCGACGTCGGAGAAGCCAAGCTCGCGAAGGAGATCTCTCACCGGGAAGGAAAGAGATCACCATAAAAACAAATGACTCTCCTACGATAGTAATTAATACCGCTAAAAGGGCAGGGCACACTGTCGTAGAGAAATATGTGTTCCGCAGGTGTCCGAGAGCTGTCGATCACAGGAGAACGGTAGACTGGCGAGACATGGCGAACCTGAGGACTGAAGGGTCACGCGAGATCAACACCGCAAGCTAGGTAGGCCCAGACTGACGTTGGAACACGACACGACCACCCCGGAAAGATGTCACGATCCGGAAAACCCGAGGAGGGAACCGGATGAGGCCAAGATCTGCCGAAACAACAGACGAAACACGCCAAGGAAGGGAGATCATATTTTGAAGAGAAGCTCACGAGGACACTTTTCGTCCTGATTGTACGATTATCGAAGCGCGATAATTATATTACATTACGTGAGTGGTAGAGATCCGAACGACTGTCGAAGGTGCGAAGGCGCTATAGCGACGAGCGAGCAAACCTCCAAGCGAGCAAGCGAACGAGTGAGACGACAGACGAGAAAGCTAGCGAAAGGCCCATGGCGGAGGAGCGACAAGAAGATCCAACTGAGGAGCGTAACGGTGATAATTGTAAGGTTGCCCTCTCGTAGAATAACGATATTTATCCGTGTCCGTGCAAGGAAGATACCAGAGAAACGCCTGTCGGAGGGGCTGGCGCGAGTGAAGCGACCGACCAAATTCTTTGTGATTTGCGTGCGAGCGTATATTCGTGGGGAAGTCGCTCGACTATCGGTCAGTCTCTCGCGGGGTAGCTCACTGGGTAAGATACTCAATTTAGAACTATCGAGGCGACAAAGTCAGCCAAGGTCAGCCGCGGAGGCCAAGGTGATCTTGTGACCTAAGTTTCATCAGTAAGCTCTCGAACTAACGGTTCGATATCGCTGCCACGGAAACGAAGAGTCCGCGTAATATCGAACGCGAGCGAACATCAATTGTTGCGGTTTATCATGAGTCAATCCTAATAAAGCTGTCGAATAATAGCATAAAAAGATCGGTTGATTGCTTCTTCCGTGTAACTCTTCTACTCTGATATATTTCTCCGACTCAAAATTATCAGTCCGAGCTACCGGAGTCTGTCGCGGTCGCGAGTCAGTACGCGTCCGAGGTTCTGCGTGAGCAAATTTTGTGGGCACGGAAAACCGTGCTTGGCGCCCAACCGAGCCTCACGAGAATCATCGGAGAGAGACTCGCGCATGCAGCTGCATTTTGTGGCCTTCCGCAAAGAAAAAGGATCGCACCATTTTAAGAGAGAAAAAACCTTTCGCGGATCAAATAAATCTATCTTTTATTGCATATTTTGAAAGTATATATTTCTAAACTTGTCTTTACATTTTTAAGAAGAATTTTAAAAAGTTAGTGAAGTTATAGTCAATTATTTAAGTACACGGGTCGGAGACAGATTTCGAGATTACAATAATTAAAATAACGGCCTACTTATTTGATTTAGCGCTGGTTTAAGACTCCTGATTCCATTGCTGCAGAACCCTGAATTGATGGCGTCAGAAGCGAGAAAACACATGCCAAAAATTGTCACGTGCTGGAATTGTTTTGGAAGCATTTTACAAATATGTTGATGTAACCTGTAGTATTATTTCATATAAATATCTTTTTATTTGAAAATAAAAAGGAAAAATTTTTGCCATTTTTGCATTTTTCCGCTTCTAACATCATTAATATGGTTTAATGGTTTCGCAACCTAGAGTCAGAAACCTTAAAAAAAAGTGTCTTATGAAAACGAAATCCTATTTTTAATGTATTTTAAGTATTTGTGTACACGATTCTACAAATAGTATGGATTTTAGAGTCCAATAAGCCATATAAATTATAGAACTCGCTAAACTAAATGTAGAAATTATCATTTTTAAACTACTACGTATATTTTCGAAATATTAACGAAGGAACATTAATTTGTACAAAAACTGTATCCTAAACGATGAATCGACGCGCATAGTACAATAGAACGAGCTCTATAGGCAGTTTAAGCTGCATATCTCAAGTTTGTCGATTGTTATCTAGTGACGATTTCTAAGAGACTCGATGTATTGCCAGAAATAAAAGCTCAAAATGAATTTCATGAGCATCAAGAAAGAATGCTACATGAGTCTGGAATCACTGATTGAGATAAAACTTGCGTAAGTACTCGAAATTTATCTTTATTATGTACACAAAACTTTAAACGCGTTATGCTCGAAACGATATTTTTGTAATTAACCTCCACGATTTAAAAAAAAAAAACTAATAAGTTGTATAACTTGTTTTTATAGATACTATTTCCATATTTTTCTTCAAATAGAATTAAAGAAATTAAAATATGTTAAATTTTCATATTTTTTTTCCAAAATTGTCAATTTCTAAGATTTTCGACAAAAATTTGTACAGATTAAAAACATATAAAAAAATGTTTTGACTTTATTATTTTATTTGCAATGATAGTCTTATATTTATACATTAATAATCTTTTTCATTCTTCTATTTTAGTGCACTAGAAAATTACTGCAAAATTATGGCAGCCAATGCATCATATACGCTCGGAATCTTTTCCGGAAATTTTGTATATCTTTAATATTTATCAATATCTTTACATGAAAAAATTACTTGTACACAATGTAGATCTATAATATTATGTATAAAACTTAAAATAAATGTCTCTCATAATTTTTGTAACAAGAATTAACAAAAAAGACCTGGTTTATGATCTTTGAAAAGTATTTCTCTCCTTGACAATAACAAATTATTTTCTAAAATGAGTAACAATAACGGTAACAGTAATAATTTGTTTTCAATAAATAGGGAAAAACGCTAATAAATTCTTTAAAAAGAAATAATTTCTCTAATCTTAGTGTATGTATTTTGTCATATTTTAAGAATTATCTAAATATAATCTGAAATTATAAAAAATCAATAATAATTATATACATACCAGGCTAGAAGGGTCACTGTTAGATAGAACATAATTAATAAATACAGCAAGGTGTGCATGATGTCCCCACAACCTAGATAAAGACTGGAACGGGCCGTGATCTTCTAATTGGCCCTAAAATATTAATAACAGTTGATTTATAAATTAATATGTACAAATCGTGTAGAAAATTTAACAAATAAAAGAATTTTTTAAATAATAACTTACAATTTCTTGATCGCTAACATCATCTTCCTCCATTGACATAATTGGTTGTTGGAATGCTGGTAATCCAGGAATGGTATCATTACCAAGCGACTGTTATTACGAAAAAAATATTTTTTTATCACTACAGGTATATAAGATGTCTCAGAACAATCTTTGAAGTTCTTGTGGAGGTATTAAGATGCACATAAAAGTCCTATACTATTTTGTGACATTTGCAATAATTTTATCGAGATATTATTTAAAGATTTATAAATGATCTGGTGTGATTATAGTAAATGAGCTATAATAACGACATTTGTCGTCGTGTGCTTGTATATTAAATCAAACTGAACAAAAACGTTCTCTACTTTTTCCCTGATAACTTTATAGATTTTTAATTATTAATTAAAGAAGATTTTCGAATGGTTGATAATATATTAATGTTACCTAATGTTATTTTGATCATTCACAAATCTTCTTTAATTAATGTTTTTTAATAAATATCTCGATAATTATTGCGAATATTACAAAACGATATGACTTTTATGTTCACTTGAGTTCGTACTATGCCTTCACGATAGCTTCAAAGATTGTTCTGGGACACCGTGTATATTACTCTACATATACACACACACATATAAACATACAGTATATCACAAAATCATATTGTACAATATTTTAATAACATTTTGAAGTTTACTTAAAATTCTAGAGTAATCGTCATAGAGTTTTTAATTAATGACATCAGAAATAAAGAAATGCATGCCTAAAATACCTACAAGTACGTCGAAATAAAAAAAATATATCCAAAAAATAATATTTACAATCGATTAAATACACCTCTAAAATATTTCTCTAAATATTACCTCTAAAACACTTTCTTTTTATTCTAACAATCAATAACCATAAAATTAACATGATAAAATAATATGGAAATGTAAGTTAAAAAAGAAGGTTACATGCCAAGTTAATTCTACGATTATTTATTGATTGTTATTTATTGTTATTATAGTTATTCTTATTGTATTGGGCAAAAGAAAAGTATGCGGAGTATTTTAGAGATGTACTTAATTGATTGTAAGTATTATTTTTTGAATATATTTATTTCAATTTACTTTATGGGAATTTGGGTATGCATTTCCTCGTTTCTGATGATAAACATCCAAACTCCGATATGTTATAACAGTGTTAATGACCCTCGCAAGTAGATGTTTTCAAAATCGGAACTAACACCTGAACTATCTTGAAAAAATTTTAACGAAAAACTACGAAACATTAAGAATTGTTACCGAAAAATATTCTTAGAGAAACTACTGAGATTGAAACAAAATCTTAGGATCTCTTAGACGTTTTCGTATAAATTCGTAGGAAATTGTAGCTTGCCGTTGAAAATGACAGTTTGTCGTAGAAACGATTAACTTCCCGTAAATTATTGTACTTTTTCGTTGCGTATTCCTAAAAATAAAAATTCCCAGACAGTACAAAATATTTATAAAACATTTACAAAATTTTTATAAGATTTATTTGAATATTTTATAAATATTTACCAAAATATTTCATAAATATTTTTGTGACCTTAGATTCAATAGATCTTAAATATTTATCATAAATATTATAAAAATATTTATTAAAATATATATACTTATATACATTTTTAAAAATAATTTAAGTAGTGACACAACAAAGTGGAAAATTTCAAAAAAATTCATTTAAAGAGAAAACTCTTTAAATGAATTTTTTTTAAATTTTCCACTTTGTTGTGTCACACACTAAATTCAATTTAAATTGTACTTCAAAAATTTATTTATCATTGCTGAGATTTGAACCTGAGACTTCTGGTTCTTGAGTCGTTCATTTTACCTACTGCACCACTGTGACTTTGACTAAGAGATGCTTCGTATTGTCTACATATAGTATATCCATGTACGAAAACAAATGATTTATTTAAAAGAAGAAAATAGATCCTTTTAAATGTAAAAAGTAAGTTTAAAAAATATGTAAAAAGTATATTTAAAAAATATTTGTTTTAAAAGTAAATAAAATACAAATAAATCATTTTGTAAATTTAAATAAATTATTTTCTGATAATATAAGAATTAATTTGAAATATACAAAAAAGATTTAATATTAGATTATATATAATAATAGATTTTTAATATTAGAAAATAATTTATTTAGATTTATAAAATGATTTACTTGTGTTTTATTTACTTTTAAAACAAGCAAATATTTATTTAAACACAGTTTTTATATTTGAAAGAACTCATTTTCTTCTTGTAAGAAAATTATTTGCTTATTCTTATATATAGATATATTTTAAATCAAAGAAATTACTTTTTATCTAGAAATTCATAATTTTATAGTTCATTTTACAAATTTAAAAAAATATTACTTTATATTTATTACATATTTTCTAAAAGCTAACAAATATTTTTTTAAGTTAAGAAATTATACTTAACAAAATATATTTTTTATCCCTTTAATTTAAAGGGATTTTTTTGAGTATACATTACCAAAATTTAAATTTCAATTTTCTTATTTCTTCATTAATCTAATAATTTTATAAATAATTACAAAAATCTATTAATCTAATAATTTTATAAATAATTACATTTATTTTTTCATGTTTCATGTTCATATTTATAGAAATATTTACAAAATATTATTATTCGTACCGTATCAAAGCTAATATATAGCTAGAATAGGTCGGGATGTGTAATCTCATAGGCCCAGAAGTGTTGACTACTACGTCGTAGATCTGACACTGCGTGATAGGCTTGCGAGCAATCGTCCATTTTCTTCGCCGGCCGCGGTGAACCGGTATGTTCCGCTGCCGCGTCACCGCGCTCTGATTAGCCCATCTATTTTATTTAATAACTCAAAATTTTACGTGATTGTTTAAAAATAATACCGATTCCATTACTCACCCTGACCTATTCTAGCTATATATTAGCTCTGGTACGATATAAATCAGACACTCTCTATAAATAATGCAAATATATACTAATAATTCAAATATTAATTTACCTGTACGTTTTTTGTGAAACTCCTGTTTAGGGGCTACTTTAATGACCTTAATCTTGTTAAGACATATGTTATAGAGGTCATCTTCCTGAATAACCTTCTGAAGGTTTTAACCGTCGTTCGTTGTTCGTTAAAAAGTTATTAACAAAAGAATTTAAAATGAATGTAATTTTTGGACACCGTATATACATCGAATTTGTAGGCTAGAAAAGTGCCTGCCTCTAGCACACACACACACTGCTTGCCCGCCCGTCCGCTTGCAGTGTGTGCGTGTGTTCCTATTATATTTGAATGTAATTTCTCCCACACATTAATTTATGTAGTATCGCAAAATTACATGGATGATTGTTAAATCATCAGAATATAATAGGAACACACACACACACACATACACACCGTGAGCCCGCTCCGGCGGGCGGGTAGGCGAGCTCTGTGTGTGTGTGTGTGTGTGTGTGTGTGTATGTGCGTGCGTGCGTGCGTGCGTGCGTGCGTGCGTGCGTGCGTATGCAATTAAACATAACACACGACAGCAGCCAACTGACTGAGACTACGGGTTAGTTATTTACTAACTTTTTAAAATTTCCAAAACACATTAAAATCGTATATTACATTGTGAAATTCATACAAATGTATGTTGAAAATTTGGAAGCCGTGTGTTACGTTCGGTTGCATACGCACGCACACACACACATACGCACACTGCTCGCTCGCCCGTCTGGGCGGACTCGAGGTGTGTGCGTGTGTCCAAAAATTACAATTATTTTATGCAACTTCTTTTGTTAATAACTTTTTAACGAACAACGAGCGACGGCTAAAACCTTCAGAAAATCACTCAGGAGGATGACCTCTATAACATATGTCAAATTCAAGATCATTGGAGCAGCCTCCCTTAAACAAGAGTTTTACCATGATAAGCTCTTAATATTAATAGATTGTAGATTTATTATCTAAGGTAAAAAGAGAAGTCTTTTAACTTTTCCTTTTTGTTACTATGATACTCTGCCTTCCACCATTGTTGAAAAAGTGACGTGCGGTTTGAGAGATCGTGGCTAAAGTTAAATAAACTTATTATTCACAATATATGAAAAGTTTCTTCTAAAATACATAAGGGAGACAATAAAATTATAAACTGAAAGTTATAGATTGCACACCATGTTCGCCATTACGCGCCATGTTCAGGTATTAGTTTCGATTTCGAGGGCATCTACTTTACGAGGACACTACTAACGCTGTCCCGTCATAATATATGGAAATTTAAAGATCCTGACGATAAATCAAAATAGTCGCAGGGAGTAGCCAGCTTACCAATCTTGTAACTTTTAATGACAGAGTAACCATACTTCGTTATCGTTGTTATTATTGCGCAAATATATGGCAGCAAAAAAGCTGCCCAACGACAACATAATAATAACGACACTGTCGCTAAAAGTTACAGAATCAATAGACAAAAGTTTTAACGTTAAAAATGTTAATACGAAATTGTTATAATTTTCTATTTTAATTATAAATAACTAAAGTTTACTAATGATATTGTGTAAATTTCGCATAGTTCAGCTGAAATTGATATTTTATTTAACAATAAATTTTATCTGCTACAATTAATTATTAAAATTTTCGTTAAAATAAAAGTAAAATGTAAATTACAGTTAGAATTTGCCACTAGTAATCAATTTATCAAGTAATTATTACAATATATGTAATTTAATATTTTGACAAAATCAAAATTGAAATATGAAAATCAGTACTCATTGATGTGTAAGAATTAACCTTAGATGACATTCATACATGCCATGTACGAATATGTCACCTAAGGTTAATTTACATGTTTATGGAGATAAGTATGAAATCTATACAATATCATTTCAATACAAATATTTAATACAAATATTTTGTATTATCTATATATCTTACATTTTTGTACTTTTTTTCATAAAATATGTTAAACACAATATATAATTCATTATGGATAATAGAACTAAGAAAGAGCGCTTCATTAAAAAGATAAATAGTCTTCGCCGGCTTAACATTTCTTTTGTTAACATTTTTGTGAACTTATATTTTCTTCTCTTTTCGATTTTAACACTCAT